AACTTTGTGGCATAGGTTTTTGTTTTCCTGGGGAGTTTTTTTTTTTTTTTTTATTTTTTTTTTTTTTTTTTTTGTAAGAATGGTTGACAATGCCAGCCACCAGCTCAACAGGTTATTCAAGAAAGCCCCGTGGATTCTTCCTAGTGATAATGTAAAACACAGACACCTCCATCGGGTGGGGTAAGTCATTCATTTTGTCTTATCTAAGGACAAATTAGTCTGCGAGGATTTTAAAGGAGGTTATGGTCAGAGTCAACGTTTCTTTGTACGGTAATTATATATTCAATTTTCCTGCACTGTTATGTTACCTCCGACGACCAGTTGTTCAAATTTGCCCTCTGTGGAGGATGTTTGTGAACCTAAATATCTCCCATCCACTTCTTACAACTGAATTAATTCCTTTTGTGTTCTACAGCGGACATTTAGACTGCAGGTATATCTGATTTGAATCAGGTTCCTGCTCAAATCCGATTTTGAGGGCCGACTGTCCACACACTTTCCAAATCAGATTTGATGTTTTCAGACAAGGCGATATTATCGACCAATGTTACAGCTTATGGAGTGACAACATCAGAACTTAGGCATGGTCCAGCACATCTAATGTAGTTTTGGTGTCATATTTCCGGCAGCCCCAATGCACAAAATACTTTCATAAATGGACTTGTTGCGTAACATGTCCTTTGAGCTTTGTTGGGATGGTTTTATCCCAATACGGCAATGACTGTCCTCTGCCCTGGGGCTACTGTTTTCAATTTATGGGAGAGGAAATGTGAGGGACAGGAAGACAAAGAGAAAAGGTTAAGAGGAAATAATGTGATTGGGCCAGTGTATATGACTCTTTTTTTCCAAGCATGTTTTCTATGAGCCTCGTAAGAACACATTTAAGTTGTTTGAATGATATTAAGACACTGATGACAAAAAGCCTGACACAGCAATGAGAACCCTCATGAATAACAGGGTTCCAAAGGACTGCAAGATCATATGGGATAAACATTTCAAAAGGAAGGAAAGATGGCGGTGAGACAAAGCCATCCTGAACTTGTCATGAAATGGTTGGACAACAAGCCAGTCGACAATGCATTGTTTGCCTATGGGACTGAACCTCAAGATGCATGTAGAAGATGGGGGGAGGGGGGGGGAAATTAATCTTATAAAACTAACATTTTCAGCGGTCATTTAAAATCTCACGTTCCTCACACCACACGCACACACACACACACATACACACACACACACACACACAAGCAATTATTAGTATCCGATTGGTCACTATGAAATACCACAACTCCCCCCCGTTCCAAGTTAAGCCATTTTTATTGTTAATATGGTTTGAAAAAGTAGGCAATTTTTTTTTTTTTTTTGTGATGCAAGGTGAAACTTACTTTGGTGCAGCTGGCAAGCATCTTAGCTCCATCAAAGCAGGACATAACAGCTCAAAGTTTTCTTTGGGAATATTATTTCTGAGAAAATTTTATATATAGTTTAGAATGTCAAATAAATAAATAAATAAATAAATGCGGGAGGGGCTTCACTGGAATTACACAGATTTCTGACAGGGCTACTATAGCCACCCTTGTTTTGATACCAGCTACTCTTTGCAGTTGAGGAAATAAATGTGGGGGGGGGGGGAACGTCTTAAATTCATAAGAAAAGGTAGAAAACACTACTTGAAGGGTTTCTT